AAATATTTAACTAAATAAATATTTTGCTATCCTACCTGCACTCTTAGTTCCTTCACCCTTGGGTAATTTTGCATTCTGATAATGCCAAAAACAAGAAGAATGCTTCTCCAAAACCATTAATCCCTTTCTAAACATATGAACAATTTGGGAAGCATGCAGCAAGCAATCAGTTCTCAGGGTTGTACTATTGCTGCATAGATTAAAGGAGAAAGTGGAAGCCTGCCAAGGAGAGGAAAGCATGGTTTATGATGTAAGTAAATTTTCTTCCAGTTTGTGGTTCATTCTCTTTCCAGCACTCTCCATACTGCTTAATCTCTTCCTGGGATGTCTCTAAAAAAAATCTTCTCAGAGGCAGCAGATCAAATGTGCTACCTCATTTGTACAGGAAGGGGGAGTTCAAAAACTTTGCAAGCTGCAGCTCTGCAACTTTACTTTCAAACACCTTGCCAGAAAGAAGGCTCATTTGCTTCTATTTGGTCTGGCCATTTGGCTGGTGATCAAGCTGCCTCTCTTCCTACTATTGCAGGCCATTGCACTGGGACTTAAGGGCCAGCATGGTCATGGTTTGACTGTTAGACTGCAACTCTTGAGACCAGGGTTCAATTCCCCACTCAGCCATGAACTCCACTGGGTGACCTTGGGTAAGTCATACTCTCTCAGCCTCAGGATAAGGCTTCAAATATTTAATGCCTGGATATGAATGCAAACCTTCTCTGAACAAATCTTGCCAAGAAACCCCCGTGGTAGGTCCAGCTTAGGGTCACCATAAGTCGGAAACAACTTGATGGCATACAACAACAAAAAAAAAACAACAATTAGCTAACAGAATGTGATATTGCAAAGTAAATCTAGATCTCACAACATTGCTATGGTGTGTGTCTGTGTAGCTGGATGAGGTGGGTGGGAATTGCTTCCCCTTTTCAGCTATACGTTTCTATTCCTCTTACTTCTTTAAGAAATAAAATAATTATTTCTGTTGTTGCTCATATTACTGAACCTGAGTTTGTTTTCCTGCTTTTGAAAGGAACCAGTGTTGCAGGGGAAGGGAAGAAACCAGCCTAGAGAGTTCTTCAACTCCCCACCCTCCACTATCCAAATCAGCATGTTAGATTTTATTGCTCTGGCTCCAGTGTCTGCAGGTGGAAGCAACCCAGATGGTGTGGAAAGAAGAGGTGGAGATAGATTAAAAAGTGATTTCTTAGCAAAGAAGTGGAACTGTCTGTGTGTCAAAGTGTACACAGTGGGGTGGGAACTTTAGTTTATGGTTCTTTGGATCACACACTCTTTGCTCTGCTTGTTTCTGTTGCTCACAAATTGGAGAAGGATGCTTTCTCCTTGCACAATCTTGAAAAGTTTTTTTTTTTTTTTACATAGGAGTTGAACTTGTGTTTTACATCAAACTAGAGCAGAAAAGATTTTAGTTGTGGTTAGAAACTTGGGTGATAAAGGCTCAAGTCCCAAATGGGCTACAAAATTGACTGCATGATTTTTAAATCAATTACACTCTCTCAGGGGCAATCTAAAGGTAAAGGAAAAGAAGACCTATTTAGCCCATCCTAAATACTAAAGTTAGAATTGTCCAAGCCATTGTATTCCCTATCACCATGTACAGATGTGAGAGCTGGACAGTGAAGAAAGCAGATAAGAGGGAAATAAATAAATAAATAAATAAATAAATAAAAGAGATGTGGTACTGAAGAGGAATGCTAAAAATACTGTGGACAGCCAAAAAGACAAACAAAAGGGTCCTTGAACAGATCAAGCCTGAACTCCCTGGAAGCCAAGATGACTAAATTGAGGCTGTTGTACTTCAGCCACATCATGAGAAGAGATGACTCACAAGACAAGACAATACTGCTAGGGCAGTAGAAGGAGAGGAAGATGGATAGAATTAGTTAGGGAGATCACAGGCCTCAAGACTTAAGCAGAGCAGTGGTGTATAGGGGGGCTTGGAGATGTCTCATCCACAGGGTTGCCATGAGCCGGAGATGACTTGAGGGCAATTAACAATAACAAACCAGTTGGATGAAAAGTAGGATACGTGTGATTTTAAAAATGATTGTTATGATTCTGTAACTGGATGATGGCCCCAGTAATTCAGTCTTCACTGTTTTACACCCCTTTTTATAAAGAACATAACAGCATACTTAGAGGAAGCTGTGTCAAACTGCATTATTTCTGCAATGCAAATGCAGCCTTAAACTGCTGGAATGCAGATAGATTAAGATGGATTTTAAAAACCTGGATCTATACAATTCACAGTTCTCCATGCTTGGTATTCATTCTGTGGAGGGTTGCATTCTTTGTATGAGTCTAGCTATTTCCAATGTATAGGATAATTATAACACTTAAAACATTATGAGGTATTTTAAAAATGATGTGTCTGGCCCACCTCATAGGAACTCCTTACTTTTAACCAAAATCTTCAAATATTTAATGCTTGGATATAAATGCATTGTGTTATTGTTGCTTCTGTTATCACACCAGTAATGGTCAAATGCTAGAAACCCATAAGCCACTGGAGCTTACATTATGATTTCTTATATGTGGCATCCATCTCATATGCTTTTGTTAATTAAACAATACCAGTGAAACTTGGAATCTAGATGCAGAGAAGTTCCTACACCACAACTGCAATGTATTAGGCTACACAAATCTTGGAAAAGTTTCATTTCTTGCATTACAAGTCCCATCATCCCATACTATCTGCTAAACCACAGCTAGGGATATTTTATTAGTCAATGTGTAAAGTGGATGTTGGAGGCCAACCCCAAATTCTCAGGACTTCAGATGCTCCTAACAATCCTTCTTATGACGCCACTGAATTAGGTTATGTTGACACTATTACAATCACAAGAACCATTAAAAAAAATAGAACCAGGGCCTTAGGACAGTAGATTGCTCTTTTCTTTTAGATGGCCAGGCACACATATCATCTGGTTGCAGTCTTCTCCATTATTGTAAGAAGCATTGTAAAGCTAAACTATTGTAAACTATTATCTACATTTGCATATATACGTACACTACCATACACAAATTTTATGCATGGCTCCACTGAAATTATAATGATCCTTTCTAAATTTACAATTATACATACACACACATTTGCATATGAAAATTGTATGCAGATCTTCTCTGCCCAGCCTATTCCAAATGGTAATTAATGCAGGATGGAACAAAATTGCTGGATGATGTAATATGGATGGTTCAGTGACAGTAATTACATTCATGCAAATTTCTAGAGTTCTAGTTGCAAACAATGGAAGGACTCCCTCAATCCTTCACAAGACAATCATGCAAAGATAGTATTTCAGGTTGTTTTTTTAGAAAGGTAATATAGGAAAAACATATCATTACAAGGGAAAATAGGCTTTTGCCATTTATTTCACTATACAATCCTCCAGAGAATTCTTTCTCATTGGTTCCAGTACCCAACATTTCAACTTCAAGCTGCATTTACTTCTAG